TTTAGAAAATTATTAGCCTTCATCAACTGACACAGTTTTTATAGATTCTCTAACAAGTTGGACCAAAAAAAGATAGTTGGTATAATAGTTATTTTTTCTTTCGGCTGGTTTACACAACTACACAATCGCTATTGGTAGAAGAAGAAAAAGAATAATATTGGTTTAGTAAAACTGGGAGAAGAAAGATACTGTAAGTACAAAACTTTTGACCACTGCTTGCACTGTGGGGCAACCACAAGTCTGGTCCTAGATCTAAGGGAGTTTTGGATCCATGATGATATTTTATGCAGAAGCCAAAAACCAGAAAGTCTTTGCAAGTACGTTCTACAATGTTATAGAGGCATAGACCATTTATTTATTACTATAAACCTTACTAACTAATGTAGTATAATATTAATAGTAATGCCTTAAATTGGAAATCTTTTAGTTTTATACATTAAACTTGTAACCTAACTATTTGTACTTGTGATGATCTGTTATCATTACAAAAGAACCATTTGCTTTATGAGTTTCAAAGTTATAGGCCTGTATTTTTAATGGGCCACATAAGTATTCAGGCCCATGTAACTCCTAGCCCTTTAGCTGATATGTTATGATGTTGAACATCTATAATGGTTATTGGAATTATTGAGTAAATTATATGAGGTTTGACAACACGTTTAGTGATTGATATACTAGTTTTATCGGCAGACCGTCGGATACTTTGTATTTTTCTAGTAATATAATTGATCATTTTGCTAAACGAACAAATGAATAGTTTTTTTAAACAAATTTAAAACATTTTCAACAGCCATTGATTATGACATTATGTTGTTCAAAAAGCCAAAAACATTACACGTATAAAATAATATTATAAAATTTGTAATAACACACATTTAGATATCGACATGACATATTTTATGAATCGTTAACGATATTGAGAAGATCGATGAGTTGCTTATTTTTCTGTTCAATCCACATGCATTGTTACATCCCTTTTACTTAACCTCCATATACGAAATTACAAAATATTTTGCATGATCCTTTTCAATCCGTCCAAAGATATATATAGTGTATATATGTATATATAAGCAAACAAATTTCTTATCTTATAGTATACATTTTACATATGTCTTGTGAGGTGCACCGGAAAATAAATAAGTTGAGTACATTTAATATAGCACAATGGACACGGATGGGGGTATTAAAAACAAACAAGAGTCAAAGAATGTATTATTCCAAATACCAAAAAAATCTAATAAAACCAAAGAAGCAAACAAAATAAAAGATAGGAGAACCAATAATACAATAGGGATCTGTGATCTATACTCTTCTTCAATTCATCCCATAATAATTCCTTATTTGGATTTTTTTTTTTCTTTTTTCATCAAAATTAAACAAATCTCATCACATCATTGATATGTTAAGTTATAAATTTGTTTCTCCCGATTGAGAGGCTCCTACATTCTAGGGTTTTAGTCACTTTTGACTTTTGTATATCTCTCCATGACCATGCATATCTTATTATATTCTTTCTTTCTTTCGTTTGTTTTTTATTTGTTCTTGATGATTACAGTTAAGTATTATGTATCCCTCCCATTGTATTAATTTATGTTATGTATTGAACATATTGATAAAGCAAACGAGTATTGTTTCACACGTTTGTCTAGCTTGAAAAGATTGAAGAAAATCCCATCTCTTAAGTAATTCCCCTAGAAATAGTGTAATACTAACAGTAATATATATAAAAAATACTACAATAATAGCAATAATTAAAGAGGGGGTGCATGAACTTTATCCTGTCACAGAGAACATGAGAATTTATCCGATTAAAAAGAAAGATTGGAGAGACATAGTTGAAAGAAAAAAAAAAGAGCATTGAAGAAAGTAAATGAATTCATATTTATCTTATTTTTTTCGTATATGAACAATATAATAACTAAAAACAAAAGAAAAAAGATAAAAATGTGTCAGAAGAATACAGAGCACTTGTTCAAGAAATTCTAAGATATTATTATAAGAAAGTTATCTATAAAACCTAATAGACTAATATTAAAGATATTGTAATGATCGAATAAAAAAAAGGATACTATACTTAATGATGATATCAGAAAATTCAGAAACTATCAGTGGTAATGTCGTGACCTTAATGTGATTTCTTGTATATAAAAGTTTCACATACTATAAAAAATAGTATGACATTTCAGTTTTCAACTATGAATATTCTAATTAGGGAGTATTTTTTTATTAATTTGGTCGGAAATGTTGATTAATCATTTGAGATATAAACTGTGGTGTTAATATGGAGCAAAGGGCATAGATGATGCTAGGGACATGAACACAGCTGTATCACTACCTTGCCTTGGGAGGCAACCTACCCCCAATTTTGTTATATCAAACTATTATAATATGGAATTCCTTTTAGAATTTTTATGCTATTTGCTTCCAATATCTCAGTGTATGTTATTTTAATACAGTGCCCATCCTCACCAAACAACCAAATAATAATACTATTACATATATTTATTTTTTATTTTAAAAAAAATCCATCTGATCCTTAAGAAAAAAATGCCAGTAGAAGTTACTAATAATACTAAACACTAAATTTCATTATTATATAACTACATCAGATAGTATCTTTGCATTTTCTTTATTTAGTGAGATGATGAGATTATATATCTGATTAAAACAAGAAAATTAATGGTGTTATTGGCGTTTTAGCTAGAGTTGCATCGTAGCTACCTAGATTGTGCAGTAAAACAATCAAAGCTACATATGCTTCGGTCTGATGATGACACTTTAAAAATTTTAACGGTATTTACCTATCAATAACGTAATGAATGACATGGGCACTTTTGATAAAAACAGGTTTCAATAATCGGAAAAAAGTCTCCTCGAGTGACAGAGTTACAAAAGAAGTACGAACAAAACTTGGAATCTTGGTTAAGAAATTTAGATTCGGTGGGAAGGAGGAGAGAGCAGGCGAGTGTTTAATTTCTTACAGTGACTTTTTTATGGAAGTGAAAAAAAGAAAAGGTGAAATAGCATCTAATCAAAAAAACTGGTTTCTTGATTGGAAAAAAAGTGAGTGCAGCGAAACGTCATCGTTTCGTTTGAGGTTTTTCTTACATGTTTCAGTGTCAACATAAGAGGGTAAAACCAAGTCCAAAGCAACTTACTATGTCTGCCTACTTTTGTCTAATTCTAGGGAAGACGAAGAAGAAGAAATCAAATCAGCATAGATGTAAATTAACAATGGTAAAAACAAAAGTAAATTGTCTTTGATGTGTATTAAATGTGACGTCAGAAGAAAAAGAAGAGATGGTTTTGCACAAATGAAACCAAGCAAACATATTAATCACTGATTGAAGATTGTGAGGTTTTGGAGTTATGCCTATTTAAGGAAAGTGTCATTTATTAATTTTGCTTGTTGAAGTGCTTCCTTGTTGTTACCTAATGTTACTAATTTTTTTTTCTTTCTTTTGCTCTTTCGTTTGTCTACACACGTCAATACTCTATTATGTTCACGTAAAGCTCTTGGAAAAAAGTAAAAAATAAACACCAAAAAAAAAAGAGAGAGAGGAAAACATAAGTTAATGAAGATCGCAATAAGTCCTTCCCGATCGGCTTTGATAAGCGTGCCATACACCAACGCTCGACGCCAAGTGAGATTCGATTTATATCTAGTCCATCCATTATAGACAATATATATATTCTTCTACTATATATCCTCCAATATAATAACCAGTATACATTGAAAAATGTCAATATATAGTTATAAGCTATATGCTGAAACTTTGATCGGAAAATATAACATGATTGTTTTTTTAGTTATGTTCACGTTTTGGAAGAAGAAGTTATAACTTATGACAACAATCTTAGTTAAAAATTAACCAAGACAATGCAACACATAAAATATTCTCATGCATAAAATATTGGATCCTGCAGATTAAAAGATTAAAAGATTAAAATAAGAAAACCTTGAATTCAAGGTAATATTTGGCCGTCGCCTGAACAGATCCCGGCGAAACAGATGGGTTCCCTGGATTCTGACATATTTCATGTGAATGTGAAGGTAATTAACAATTATATAGAATAAAATTTAGAAAGAATAAAAGGGGGAAATATATAAAAGAATTATGCATACTTTCTTTCCCATTATAGTTCGAGATAATTTTAATTTAAATACTGTATATATTCTAGCATTCGAACAGATATATTAAAATATAGAAATTAAAATTGTAGAAATAGGAAAATTCATGGTTGTTGCCTAAATGGTGAGAGAGCAGTTCATGCACCTTTGATTTGTCCAGAAGCGCCTTGGCTCACGACTCGTGGGTCCAAAACAAAGGGTAATAATAACTTCATGACTCGACGGTCAAGATGACTCCTTCATATGTGCAACGATCTTTTTACTTATTCATCAGCTAAATACAACATAACACCAACTGATAAACATAACACCAGCTGATTTTATGAAAAAACTAGCTAGCATTGAAATTTTGAGGTAATATATAAATCTTCAATGCATGGAAGGTTGTAACATACATGTCAAAGCAAGTAAAAAAGTTTCAACAGCTAGCTAGCTAGTATACATACACATTAATACATACATGGTACATGATACATATGTATATGTGTGTAAATAGAAGAAGTAAATTAAAAAAAAAATCCTAATTTTTAAATAGTATATGTATCTTATACTATTACTATACTATGTAAAATAAGTTAAAGAATAAGAATAGGCCACAAAGTGCTATATAAGTAGTCCATCACTTCTAGTTCCTGTTATATTGCTGAATCTCTGATTGGTAGTAACAGTTTATACATTTCGCACATATAACTCTTCTTCTCTCTCTCTCTTTCATCATCATCTCTTCTGTGATTCAGACACACACACACAAAACCCTAAATTTTCAAGCTTTGTCAGTCCACCTTCTTCTTCCTCCATACCTTATCTCACCAGCTTCCCCATATCTCTCTCAAAGAGAAAGAAAGCCTATAAATCTCCCAACAAAAAGATGGATAACTCCGACATACTGATGAACTTGATGATGCAGCAGATGGAGAAGCTTCCTGAACAGTTCTCTAACTCAAACCCTAACCCTAATCCCCATAACTTTATGATGCTCTCCGAATCCAACACTCATCCATTCTTCTTCAACCCCAACCATACTCATATCCCACTTGACCCAACCATCTCTCATCACCACCAACCCGGTTTAAATTTCCGGTTCGCCCCTTCCACGTCATCATCTCTCCAGGAGAAAAGAGGAGGATGCAGCGACAACGCCAACATGGCCGCCATGAGAGAGATGATCTTTCGTATAGCCGTGATGCAGCCTATACATATTGATCCGGAATCCGTGAAGCCACCGAAGAGAAGGAACGTGAGGATCTCCAAGGATCCACAGAGCGTGGCGGCTCGACATCGAAGGGAGAGGATAAGCGAGCGGATTAGGATTCTTCAACGGCTTGTCCCCGGTGGAACCAAGATGGATACGGCGTCGATGCTCGATGAGGCTATCCATTACGTCAAGTTTCTCAAGAAGCAAGTGCAGTCGCTGGAGGAGCATGCGGTGGTTAACGGGGGAGGAATGACGGCAGTGGCCGGAGGAGCAGTGGCGGCTACTGTTGGTGGAGGATATGGAGGAAAAGGGTGTGGGACTATGCGGTCTGATCATCACCAGATGCATGGAAATGCACAGATTCTTAGATGATGACAATGATGATGATTTTAAAAAATATATTTTATGATTATTAATATGAACTGGAAAAAAACATTTTAGAAGGAGTTGAATTAAAATATTATGCAACCATCCTTTTCAATGTTTCTATCTTTCCGCCTTTCGATGATAGCTTGGTTGGGATGCATGGTTAGTTAAGTCAGCCTTGTGTTTTAAAGAATACAAGTATCACTAGTACGTAATTGTAATATTTAATTATCTTCTAAGTGAATTAATCTATCTTGCCACTGATCAATCCGACATGTTTTAGTTTTCAGACATCAGTTTTTTTATGTTGCATATTGCTTTTATGTCTTCTTTCAAATGTAGCAAGTGTCAAAGTAGGTAAGTTATGTCATTTCGTACTTGTTGTAATACTTTTCTTGATGCACATGTGTTGAGCCAACTTTCTAGATATAACAAGAATTTTGGGGAGCAAAATAGAGCACACGAATATATTTGTATTGCTTAGAAATTTTTTTAACACTTGTTAAAAATAGAGAGAGGCATATTGTATTTTCATTATATAATATGATTGAGGATTACATAATATTTGGACAATCTTGCTGTCTAAATAACTTTTTTTTTATCTTTTGAATAAGTGAACATTATTAAACAAATTCATCCCTGAGTGACTTTTTTTTTCTTGCTTATTGATTTCTTGGAACTTGAATCACCTACATTCATTACAAAGAATGGTGAAACCCCAACTAGCTGACATCTCAACTTTACAAAAAAAAAAAAATAATAATAATAATTATATATATCTCACAAACCGAGTTGTTAGATTAGAAAGAGCAGTATGTTAGTTGTGTCACAAGGTAAGACCAACATTAATAGTAGAATTTAAGGGGTATCTTCTCCTAAGATACCCCTTAAATACTACCATTAATGTTGCCCTAAGCCCAATTAAAGACCCATTTCATACAAAAACGAAATTTAAGCTCACGACCATGCACTATAATCATAGGCCATAAAGGAGCGATTTATTTTGTTGCAAGTTGTAACAGACACTGATGCAACAAATTAGTAGTATTAATTAGTCTATTAGACTACACTTGTTTTAGTCTTTTTTTTTTTTTTTTGTCGACACACTTGTTTTAGTCGAGAAAGGCCAAACAACATTGACCTGCATGCGGACATTGTTCGGGATTCTGGAAGCAGAAGAGGTACTACATACTGAAAACGAATAGAGCAGTCTTGAAAATTACATTATCATAACTCAACATGAGTCTCGATAATTTAGATATTTGAGTGTGTTTTTTTTCTTTCGTGAACATATTTGAGTCTTATCTTTTGCGTGATATAGAGGTGAATTTCAGATATCCTTGTTTTGGTCGTAAAATTCGTAATCGGGTACTTTGTTAAACAAACGTCACATGGGCCTCTTCTAATATTGTGACATCTCTTAGGCCACAATATGTCGATGTATAACTATTTCTTATACCAAAGCCCATTGCGAGATGGAAAACCTTGAATAAGTCCAAACCCATATTTTTTTTATATTGGTTGGTTATTCGTTTGATTGTGACCAAATAAAGGATATCTTAAAACTTTTTTAAGAACTGGCCTAGAAGTTATCGTGACACGTTTGATTGATATTTCCTTTAACGAATGGAAAAAATCTTATTATCATGAATAGTTTACCGACGGCTTTCCTTTTTGGGAATTGTCAAAGAAACAAAACATATATTTTAGTTTTTAGCCTTTGACTCAACTTAAACAATAGAAAGAAAAACATGTTTAAATTGAAGTTCATGCACTTGGTTTCAGCCGCCCATTTTGGGTTTGGCTTAATAAGACGACCTAATTCTGAATTTGTAAGTTCGGTCAATGAGGTGGGTACATGCAGATGCAGTGTTTGCAATTAAAAATCCAAACCATATTTGATCCATCCATCAGCTTGAATTGACTGTTATTCAATCAACATAAGGGTTGAGTATAGTCTTTGTCTAATTTGGGGATGCAATGCGTGCAGTGTTTTAGCATTAGTATAACGACGTTTAAAGATTAGAACTCTACTATATACAAGTCGTATTCCAACTTCCAAGGAATATTCGAAAATCTTGAATTATGCTTATCTTTAGAGGGATAGGGACCCCTTTGTATTAGCTTTGAGATAAAACGAATCCACTTGACGTCGAATCGAACTTACATTTTTTTTTGAATAAACAATCGATCAAGTATGGGAATCAACTGGTGCTTATTAACATATATTAAAAAATAAATTAAAAAATTATTTTTAAAGGTTAAACGCAATGTTATAGTTGAATCTATGTCTAATCTAACTAAAGAAAAGAGACCTACTTAGGATTCTGTGGCAGAACAAGACAAGTATTTCTTCTCTAATCTTTTAAGCTAATATTTGAAGTCTATTCATATACAGTATAAATCAAAACTTAAGTTATACTTTTCACTAAATTTTTATAATCATATAAAAGTAAACGTGTTATTTACTGCACGATAGTGTACATTTCTGTTGTCCAAAATCATTGATAACAAACAGTATACAACATATTCCACTAATATCTACTATAGACTTTTCCATTGTTTATTAAGTAGCTAAGGGAAGATTTAACGTTAAAATAAATAAAAAAATAAGCCAAGGGAATTGATACAACCATATTTTTTTAAAAAATGTAAAATTTAGAACCAACCCCCCAGTAACATCTACAAGAGATTAGTTTGAGTTTTACTTTAATCTATGACACAATAAAAAAGGAATTGTGCAAGAGATTAGTTTGGGTTTTGCTTAGTGACGCAAAAAGGAATTCGCAACTAGCAAACGTGAAACAGAGGAAAAACATAAACCCACTTAATAGGGTCGATGACTAAACCGAAGCGAGGGACATGCGTCATAACTTGACGATTGAAACTTTGCATTTCTTGATTACGTTCATACTTATAATGACCCACCATTTCTATGTATGTTATTTTTGTTAGATGGGAGTATTAAATAGTAACAAGCAAGTTGTGTAGAAGTAGAGATATCCCATACCAAGAGAATAAAATATTCTATCGGTAAGTCTCACGACTTCGTCCCATATCCAATTGCTAGACAAACTCCCATCTTTACAGCTTATTTATATCAAAATTATACCACAATTAGGATGATACCATTTTGAATATGTACATGTGGTCGATCGATAAATATAGCATAATTAAAATTCATATACATATTTATAGTGAAAGCTGACATATAACAATAATCATGCGTTGATAGCAAGCGAGGGTTGAAGACTCTATAATGTGTGTAGGATACAGAAGAATCATAGAAATCTTACAACAGAAATAAATATGAGCAGATAGGGAAGAAAAAGTAGTAGTATAAAACTAGGATAAAGTAGCCGAAAGAGAAATAAAGGAAAGAGAAAATCAAAGTATGTGATTGGTTCATGGTACCAAAACCAAAAAGAGCTATGAAGAAGCAAGTCGCAAAGATCTTTATCCATTTATACAGCAAAAATAAAGAAAGAATTTATATATATTATCGAGGAAGATATTTAGTAGAAGAATTTAATAACTATGCAAGAAAATCAAGAAAACAAATTAATAAATAAAATGGTGGGAAGAACATGCGAACATGTGACGGTGACGGAGTAACGGCTAAGGAATTAAGGATATATTACTAACTTCACTTTCATCAAAACTCGTGTTTACTGCAAAGTCTTGAGTTTTGTGTGCGTTCGTCATCGTCAGGGTTCCGTTAAAGTCTGTTTTTCTTTTTTTTTATGACTACTATATATAGTATTAAAAAATGTAGCAAAAATCATGATATTTGTTTCTATAAATGAATATAAATTTGTGATAGATTTGTTTATAAGAAGATGAGCCGCAACTTGCGAAAAGTCTGTTACTGTCTCTGTTTGGAATCGAAGACTTCATCAGGTCTCTGATTCCGACAATAAAGAAAAAAAGAAACCTAAAACTTCACTGTGAAGCACTTCTTTTGCTGTTTCTTAGCCACTACTTTTTTATTTATTACTAGTAAGAAAATCTGTATTTTTATATTCGTAGAGTTTCTGAGTTGCGCCGCAATTTATTTCATGCCAATCTTGCGCAACCTTCTGATCCAAAACAAGATAAGTAATCTTGGGTTTCTTGGTAGCAATTTATTAATTAAACTGTGTGCAAAAGGTTTATTAGTGTACAGAGAGCAATATCAAAACATATGTGAGAGTCATTGTAACAAAAACTGTACTTGTAATAAGATTTTTCTAGCGTTATATAAATCATGCCCATTACGACCACAAAACTTGGACGGCCAAGCAAGTTGTTTGTGAAAACTTCTATATCAAGCATATTTTTTTTTAAACGATAGAAAAGTGAAATCCATTCGTAAAAGTCGTGACTACTAAAATATTAGCAAGACGAATGATGATTGGAAGAGTTGTCGGATAAAGTCATATATTGAAACATCAAAATCTGTTGAACTGTTATCGGAATTTGGGTAAGATAACAATTAGTACAAAACATAAACTATGGTACAATTCACATGTGACAACTTTCATCGTATTCAGCATTTTTTCTCATCTATCAATATAAGTTAAACATTATACAATTCGAAAGCAAGCATGCAAATTGCAGCTGCTAGCTATAAGAATATCCGTATACAACTATGAGAAAATGCAAAAAAACGTTACTTATAAAATGGAGAAGAATTTGATACTTTGGATTCACCAAACAACATACAAAAAACCCCTACTTCCATGCATTTTTTACAATTTTATATCATCAACGGCCTTCGAAAGAAAAGTCCTAACTATTATTTCATTATATAATACTTAATATTTGATCGTCGTAGAGTGGTTAATTAATTCACGGTCAATATTTAACTAAAGATTGACTATAAAAATTCTCGATTTCAAATCCAAATTAACACCATTCATTATATAATAATATGTTTGTGTTAGTTAATAACACATAATATCATTCGAATTTACATATTTTATATTAGTTACTGATATAAATTCTATACTATTAAACTATATCTCTAGGTGATAAATAATTGTTTCTAATAGATTATATGTGGTAATTAGTACTTTTTTTTTTTTCGACAATTAGTACCTTAATATATGAAGATTCTGTAAAATCTCGTTGTGACTAAAACCAAAGTCGTGCGATGATTATTTATTTTCCTAACTTAATAATATATATTTTGTCATTTAATTTCGTATTTTAGCAGCCCAAAGATGAAAAATCACATATCCGCTCTCTCATCACGTGCATTAAGTAACCCGAATTTTCGAAACTTTGGAAAATAAATATCACATTCACAAATTAATAATAAAAACTTTAGTATATAAAGAAGAAGTTGCGCCACAAGGCACAAATAAACAGTCACGAGCTACATGCTCTGTATCTTCCCTCTGTTTTCTCTATTTGCTATTTACTTCAATTCTCATTCCTATTCTGAATTGGTGAATCCAATCCCAACCAAAAAAGGAAAACTTTTTTAAAACCCTAAAGATCATTGTTCCACCAATCTTATAAAAACGAAACCTTTCTTCATAATTCTCTCATCTTCATAAAATCAGAAGCTTTTGTTTCCAATGGAGTGGGTTCGTGGAGAAACTATCGGGTTCGGAACGTTTTCTACTGTAAGTCTAGCGAAGAATACTAAAGACTCCGGCGAGTTCCCGGCGGTTATAGCCGTGAAATCTGCGGACTCTTATGGCGCCGCTTCGCTTTCGAACGAGAAATCAGTGTTGGATTCACTCGGTGATTGTCCTGAGATCGTACGGTGTTACGGCGAGGATCGAACGGTCGAGAACGGTGAAAACATTCATAACTTGTTGTTAGAGTACGCTTCGAGAGGAAGCTTAGCGACGCAATTGAAGAAACTTGGCGGTGAGGGTTTACCGGAAACCACCGTACGCCGCTACACGGGATCGGTGCTCAGAGGGTTACGTCACATCCACGCGAAAGGGTTCGCTCACTGCGATGTAAAACTCGGGAATATTCTGTTGTTTAGCGACGGCGCCGTTAAAATTGCGGATTTCGGGTTGGCGAGGAGAGTTGACGGAGTTTTAACGCCGTCAAAAGAAGGAGTGGAGATTAGAGGAACGCCTTTGTATATGGCGCCGGAATCTGTTAACTTTAACGAGTATGGATCAAAGGCTGACGTGTGGGCGTTGGGATGCGCTGTAGTTGAGATGTTTAGCGGCAAAACGGCGTGGAGTGTGAACGATGACTCACACTTCATGTCGCTTTTGATACGTATCGGTGTCGGCGAAGAGTTACCGAAGATACCAGAGTTGTTGTCGGAAGAAGGCAAAGATTTCTTGTCCAAGTGTTTTGTTAAAGATCCCGAGAAAAGATGGACGGCTGAGATGCTTTTGGAGCATCCGTTCGTGGCCGTTGGTTATGGTGACGATCGAGAAGAGTATGTTTTGGAGCTGGAGGAGGAAAAAGTAGCGACGTCACCAAAGTGTCCATTCGAGTTTCCCGATTGGGAATCTATATCGTCGGATTCACACACGCAGTTTCAGCCGTCGGATGCTCCGGTAGAGAGACTTGGAAGTCTGGGTAGTGAAACGTTCCCTGATTGGTTCTTCGGCGGGGATTGGGTCACCGTCCGGTGACGGGAGTGGCATAAAAACAGAGTCGAAGGCTAGGTTTTTTTTAACACCTAGTTATGATCTTTAGTTCAATGACGCTTAATTAGTATTCTTTATGTGTAATCGATTTGTTAATACAATTCAATGATAGAAAAAAAAAGTATATTGGTGACTGAGAGTTGGATTAAGAATGTTGAGAGAGAATCGTGTCCACCACACGACAGTTTACTTACATGAACACCTTTGCTTCAATGAGTAAACAAACTTGTCTCTCTCACACCATAATAGGCGTGATAGGCGTTTGGACTTTGGACCCCTCAAGCGGTTCTAATATTTAATTGAAATGTAAGCCCATTGGGTTTTAGAAGCCTCGGTTTAGTTAAATAATTAGTCATAAAGTCTTGCAGCCAAGTAAGGCATTATCTTATGGAATATGACCCAATAAGATAATATAACGCAAGAGGATCAAACTGTCAGCAGACTTAGGGGGTGTATTTAAAATAGTATTTAAAGAGATTTGAGTTTTATTGAGATTTTGATGATTTTAACGAACTTCATATGATTTATATAAAATCCTTTCAAATCCAACCTAAAACTATGAGATTTGGATTCTTGTATTTTTAACTAAAAAAGTTCTCTGAAATCCTCTGAAATCATTTAAAACGGAATCCACAAACTGTTTTCAATAACAGTGAATTTTAAAGTGTATTTTAAAATAATTAGTTCAATAACACTAGATTTTATGAGACTTTTTAAAATCCATGATTGAATAACACCGGATTTGTAAGCTTTTTACAAATCACTTGAAATTCCATTTTGAATACACCTCTTAATCTTTCTTTTGATTTTTAATTTTTTATTCTACCAGATCACCACTTATTTACAACTCATTTCAATTTGATTTCACCAAAAAATCGTTAATAAAAACCAGAAGAGAACTTCTAAATTATTTTGTTTCATTAATCGATTTGGTGAAAACAAAACTTAGCTTTTTTTCTGGGTTATATTCTTAAGAAAATTAAATGTGATGTTTTTCTAGGAAGCTGAAAAAATATTGCATTTATTACAAATATTTTCAAAGAACGAAATTATTAATGCTACCAATATGAATAAAAGAAGAAAAAAACTATATACAGTTCCTACCAAAAAAAAAAAAAAACTATATAGTACAGTACTATGTCTAATTAAATTAAAAATGGTATAGTGAATTTTGTTTCGTAGGCCACATGTAAGAAAAAATTGCGTCATATGACATACGTTACCCGTAGAATATCTCTTTTATAGATTATTAGATTTAATGGTAAGATTTAATATTAAATTTTAATAAAGAACCTTTTATGACAATTTTTGAATATTTAAAGGTGTTTTGGAATTGGAGTTGGAATAACTGGAATAGGTCATACTAATATTTGAAGTTTTAGTATTAACTTACCTTAAAATTAATTAAAGTCATGGGACTTAGAATAAAGATGGGGTTCATATGTGTACATTATAGTATACACTCAAAAAGACAAATATTTGAAGACCAAAGAGTATGCCCTAAATCGATCAGTCATGCAGTAGTTGTATGCTCTAAAAATACATCATCAGCTAGTAGGTTTACAAGTACATCAGACCGTAGGGTAGCGTGAACATCAATACTTCCTTCGTTGATTCCTGGAAAAAGTGTAAGCTTGCCATCGAAACTACAAGACGGTCCAGATCGAGTTGCAATAGGTTTACCCCAACCAAAATCTTTGTTGTACACTTCGAACCGCGGAGAGCTTGCGATAACTATAGTATCACCAACTACTTTACTGCCAATGCCTAACTTTAGGTTCTTAACATTTCTAACCCACTCCTCTGCAAAAAATTTACACTTTTCATTATTTTGGGAGCTCACTAATTTTCTTAGTTGTAGAGCAGCCAAACCCAAGCTACGATCCATCAGCTCTTCCACGGTGGTTACGGCTGATGCAAGAGAGACCATATTCCCAAAACAATCTTTCTCAAGCGGAGGATCTATCCTCTGCCTCAAGTCCACCGCTAGTATGCACTGTGTCTCTCCTTCTTGGCTAAGACCTCTGTGACCGATGATTAATCGCCACATATGTGTAGAAACAGCTTGAAGAGATGAAATCCCCTGGTCATTAGAGGCAACCTCGCTGTTGGCTTTAGCTTTGAGATCTAAAATATTCTTCTTTGTGAAGTGTAACGTCCAATGTTTCACAGTGTGCACCGAAGAAGATTCACGGCTCGGTGGTGGCCTCTCCGTCTCTGATACAGGAATATGGATCGGGTAATCTATCCCCTCGAGGAACCATCCTTTGAGAACAAGAGGCTTATGGTTGAAACTTGAACCACCACTCGAGCAAATCTTGCACCAAGTATTGAAAAAATCCCACATAGAGACTCCGTCCGCCACCAAGTGGTTGTAACAGTAACAGATGAATACTCCATCCTTCATCTCGGTGACTTGTACAACAAGCAAGGGCTCCAGGGCGCCATCACAGTTTCTTAAACCGTTTCCGGGAAAGAAATGCTTTAGGAAACAAGGAACAGAACCATCAGGCTGGAGAATATCACTCACCGAGACAGATTTAGTTTCTGCATGGAGAAATCTAGCGCCGGAGTCATCACAGTCTACGTAAAACGACACCGTACTGTCTTCAAGATTCTTCGTTTTGACGAGTCGACCCGCCAAAGGGAAGTAGATATCTAAGGCAAGAGAGAGAGAGGTCTTTAGCCGACAGATGAGATGGAAACTGGGATCTGGTTTGGGAAAGAGAAGACCTCTTTGAGGACGATTGAATGAGAGAAGACTCAGATCAAATGGGGTAAGATGGATCTTAGTTCGACCCGCTTGGTTGCTGTTTACGGGTTGTACAATGCTCGACGAGACTAAATCTACCACTCCTGCCATTTTTTTTTGTTGTCTCTAATGTGAAGCCGTGAAGAAGAAAGTGTAAAACTTGGCCATTTAAAATAGTACCCACCTACTAAAAGACAGAAAACAAAAAAATTAATTTTTTCTTTTGGAAATTAATTCCTACAGCTATGTGCAGGCCCAGCCTTTTAATGAGGCAGTTACAGCAAAAGCTTCAAAGGCACATTGTGGAAAATGTGATGTTGCATGCAAGTTTAGTGCAGCTATGTGCAGGCCCAGCCTTTTAATGAGGCAGTTAAAGCAAAAGCTCCACAAGCATATTTTGGAAAATGTGATGTTGCAGCTATGTGCAGGTGTTGTTGCATGTGTAGTGTTTGAGTCCTATATCACATTCACATATTAGAGCAAGATTATTCAAAACTCATTTCACTGCAGGTAAAACATCTATATATATATAACCATATGAAACAAAATGGAGTTAGATGGATCTTCATCTTTGCTCGTCCAGATTGGTTTGTGTTTCCGGTCTAACATTTCCCGTAAACTATATTGTCTTTTAAATTTTACAGTAAAGAAATTCAAATTTTCAACTTCTTACTAACCCGTTCAAAAATTTGCGAAAACGTATATACTTAAAGTTGGAAGTTACCATCCGTCACATCTATTGTTTTTGGTGTGTATGACCGAATGAAATGTTTTATTCTCAACCAATTTAAATCATGCAATAGTTACATGCTCTACAAATTCCACCAATGTATCCTCCTCCTCTCATTGCCTCCACCATTTTCCTACTCAATCAAGTCTATATCCATAATAGCATATTTGATGGTTTATAATTGAGTTTGGTCTTATTATTATTATTTCATATAATTAGATAACTATTGTGTGTGTAATTAAGTGAAGAGGTGTGTATTAATGGGTACACATGAAAGGGTGTATACGTTATATTGTTGCGTTGGTTCGTGACTTGTTGTGAACGGTTGCGACCGTGTACGTAAGACATGTATATATAAGTGTATGTGTTGTTGTAATAAGTTAACAAGTTTCACTATAATAAAAATTCAGTTTCTGTTCTTGTCTTTTACAAGAGAAGAGACAAAAGTCTCTTACTCTGTTTTTTCTTCTTCTCTCTCAAATATTCCAACATGGTATCAGAGCTTTATTGGTCTTAGAGCCTTTAGAAGCAAAACAAAAATAAGAAGAAATCCGCTGCTAGTAAAAGAGAGATGGAGTCAACAAATTTATGGTGAGAAGAAGATGAAGAAGAAGAAGACATAGAAGAAGAAGGAAGGAAAGAGGTGATGACAAGAGAGAGCATCATCAACTTTCACAAAGAGAATCATCAAGAAGAAGGCTCCAAAGGGATGATGAAGATAGGGAATCTTCTCAAAAGGAAATGGAAACTAGATGTGATGTTAGAATTGTGGAAGGAGAATCTTTGTGAAACTTGTTCAAAGAAGACGTGAAGATTCACGCCTAGAAGGTTATAAGGTCAACCTATAATGACGGCAGAAAAAAAAGGGAATATCCAAGTGATGACAAGCCAAGAAGAGAAGATCATCAAAGAGGTGTTTCTAGTGCCGAGTATAGGTAGAGCATAAGAGGATGCTTACCTCGGAGAAAAAATGGAGCATAAGTCGGTTGAAGAGTAAACCGAAGATGACGTGAAGAAGATTCACGCGTAAGACGTCATGGATGGAGACATTATGGTGATCAAAGGGAGACACCAAACACAGAAGGAGGATGCTTACCTCAGAGAAAAATGGAGCATAAGCCGGTTGCAAAGATAACCGAAGAAGACGTGAAGGAGATCACGCACAG